GGGCTGCTTATGCACAGGGAGACAGCTCTCAGGGAGCAGTCCATGGAGGGATGAACACAGCGAAGAGGTAAACTATGGGGAGGAAGTGGGAGGGGAGCTGTTGCATTGTGATAAACTGTGGTCAATCTCATGAAACAAAGTATTTGTAAACTGCTGTATGGAAAGTAAATTTGCTCTGTAAATCTTCACCCAAATCACAATAATTAATAAATAAATAAAGTGAAAGCTCCTGTCACTAGATCAGGAAATAGACCATTGCCAGCCTCCAGAAGGACCCTGGTATGCCCTTCCTGATTATTTGTGTGTCCTTTTACAAATCATGAATAACATTCCCAAATCATTCAGTTCTGTCCTGAGGTAATCATTGTCCTGACTTTTGAAAACTTGTTTTATTACTTATGAATACATCCCTAAGCAACATCATGTAGCTATATTTGACCTTTACATAAATGGAATCATACCCTTTATTCTTTTGTGTTTTACTTGAAAATTGTTTTTAAATGGTACTAAAAATTGTTCGGAAGTATAAACCTGTTGACATTTGATCTTTTTAATTTTCAATAGTTACATCTACACAAAACTTCTAAGATTGCCATGGGAGAGACGAGGAGCGGTTTAGTTTAGTAGCATCTTGCCATGTAGAATACAATTCCTTCCTGAATTTTCCTTGAGTGGTGGCATTTTGTTTTAAATGTTTGTTTCATTAAGAAGATGAAGTTTGGAGTATGTAATGTAGTTTTTTGGAGAAAGAAGTTAAGTAAGGGTTAAAGTAAAATAAACAAAATCCGTACATGTTAGGAAATCCCTCTTATATTGTAAAAATGTTACATTTGTTCTAACAGTCAAGCAGAATTTGTTCCAATTTATTATTAAACTTACCACCCCCTTATTTAGACCATAGCATACATAAAAACTGGTCAGATTTTTTCTGTTTTAATAAAAATCCTGAATAATGAACCCAAATGCATCAGATTTACTTAAAAATTAAGCTTTATTGATTATCTTATCTTGAAAATTGATAAACATTTACTTGGGATATTTTGAGGTGGTGATAATATATTAGAATTTAGACATTTTTAGGAAATTGGTTGAAGAATTTTAGTTACCAAGTCAAAATACCTTTTAATACTTCACTACTTAATGGCATTCAGGAAAATTTCTTAACCTCTGTGCCTCAATGTCCTCACTTTTAAAATCTAAAGATTAATAACCATATGTATCTTAAAGGATTATTTTGAGAATAAAAGATGATCTCTGTAATGTTTACCACAGTGACAAAACCAAAACCAAACCCACTGCCATCCAGTCAATTCCAACTCATAACGACACTCGGCCCCCCCTTTGGGTTTCCAAGGCGGTAAATTTTTACAGAAGTAGATTGCCCAGTCTTCGTTCTGCAAAGTGGCTGGAGGGTTTGAACTCCCAACTTTCTGGTTAGCAGTCAAATACCTCAGGCACTATGCCATATATTAAGTTTATTAGTAGTCATTCCTGTTGTTACATGAGTGAGCAATTCTGTTTTAAAAAATAAAATTGAGATAGATGTGAAAACAGTTTTCTTTCAGATTCTTAGAATCATATATTTTGAAAGATGGTTTGTGGGAATTGGGGCATAGTTTGTAATAATACACATTAATAAGATAACAAATCCACATGCAATCCGATGACAAAATTGAGATATTTTAGAGAATAGTGAGGGAAACTTTCAGAGTGGAAGAATAGTTTGTCCCTAGGCAAAAACTAGCCCAGGATGTATGAAGAACAAATAGTAGCCTCTTTTCTGAATCAGGGTATAATTTTTGGGTTAGAAATATGTTGGAATATTGAATCTTGAATGGAAAAATAATTTTTTAAGGGTATATTTGAGAACTCTGATTCTTGTACATACTGATATTTTTGAGCAAGAGGGTTTTGAAGAGGGGGAAAAAATGTCTAAGGGACTAATAGGGTGTCTAAATGAGGAGATTCTAAAGCATTTAAGAAATGGGACTGGGAGTAAACAGAGTTAAGTCAATATTAGAAATTTAGATTTGTCAGCATGTTTCATGAAGAAACTTTACAAAATGATTATAAAAGGTGAATGGCAGATAAATCTTGGTACAGAAGTTTCTTACAGTTCAACCTGAGTGAGAGAAGTGACGAGGAAAAACAATATGGTTAGTATATTGAAGTAGTTAAATAGTATGAGGTTTGTACTTATACCTAGATTTAATCCTTGGGTCTACCATATTCTCACTGAATGACCTTCAGTGAGATACTTTATTTTTCTGAGCCAGTTTTCTCATCTGTAAAATGGAGATGATAATACCACAAAGTTGTTGTAAGAATTAAATAATATGCCTAAAAATTGGTGATACATAGGAAGTACTTGATAAATGTTGCCTACTGTTAGGAAGTGGTGTTAGCCAAAAAGAGACATAGAGAATCACAAAGACGGAGATGTATTATTTGGCCATAATTTGGCTAAATAAAACTGTAAGAGACATTAGCGAAAGCAAATTAAATTCAATTGCTAAAGGCTTAGGCAACCTTTCTTAAAGATTTGAATTATCAAATACAAAATTATTTGACAGTTACCTCAGTTCTTCCAAGGATGGTTCATACCTATGACCATTCTAAATGCATAGGAAAGAAGTTAACTCCTTACAAACAGTGGGTGCCTTTAAGACTTTGTAGCTTAATGCTCTTAGGTCCTGTTTGAAAGACTGCAAAAGTCTTAAGGACATGTTAATGCTAATAAGGGAGCTCTGGTAGCGTAGTGCCTGAGGCACTTGACTGCTAACCAGAAGGCTGGTGGTTCAAACCCACCAGCCACTGCTGGGAAGGAAGGTTGGGCAATCTACTTCCGTAATGATACTGCCTCGGAAACCCAAGGGAGGGGTTGCTATGAGTCAGGTCGACTTGATGGCACATAACAACAACAGCAACAACAATGCTAATAAAATATTCATGGTATTGACTGCAGGCAGAAATTAGATTGAATGGTCATGTAGTTAAGTAAGTGGCATTTCAAATTTAGATGATGGCCTAGTTAAACTTCCAGGAAAGATTATGAGAAAAGGGGGAAATAGTCCATAACGGAAGGATTAAGGACTGTATAGCTAGGATCAGTAATTTAAATATATTGAGTCACAAGAGTGTTGATTTCTTTTTCTAAAGAAATGAATGAATACTAAATGAAAACTTGAAATGTACATTGCTGTTTTTACAAAAGTGTTTTCTTTTAATTTGTTGCTGAATTGGTGCTGCAGAGTAAAGGAGTTTGGAATTAGTCCATCAGACATTCCCTTCTCACAGGGTAGTGGCAGTCGCCCTGATCTCTCTCCTTCTTATGAGTATGACGACTTTTCTCCTTCGATTACCAGGTCTACTTCATTGTATATATAAAACATTTATTCTAATAGTTTCATTTGAATTGTGCTATGTACAAAACATTTCATTTACTTCTTTTGTCCTGAGTGATTTTAGTTTTCATTTTCATTTCATTCTGCAGGTGGTGTTGTGCTGCATGATCTGCATTTTTATGTATTTTATTTATTTGCTGCTTCTATTGATTTTTTAAGGATGATGTCACTTTTGCATTTTTATCACTAAAATTAAAGTGTTTTGTTTAAAATGAAGTTTATCTTTATTCTTCATGATCCTATAATTTCCTGGTCTGCCAGGAAAGAACAGGTATCCTCTTGACCAAGAATGCATACCCTTTCCCAACCAAATATGTACATTTCAGTATAATAGGTAAATATTTTTTTAATGATAGAATTTAAATTACTATATTTATATTAGAGGTAAACTTATTTTTTAATTGAGCATTAAAACAATTGAAAATTTGCAAAGCATATCACATTTCAGCAGTGATCCATTAATATTTTTTGTTTATGTAATTTAATTTGTAACAGTTGTCTCTTATTTTTCTTGAAATGCTGAATCTATATGCTTTGCTAATTTTCCTCTATACTTAATGCACAGTAATTATGCTTAAAGTTGTTGTAAAGTTGCCTACGTAAATTCTAAAAATTAAATAACCAAATATTCCCTTAGTATTATCCACAGATCTCAGATAAACTCGACCTGTAAAGCTGACATCATCAATCTCAATTTGTTAATTGAATTGACTTCATGTTAAATAGGCTGATATTTCTTGTTTTTCTGCAGGAGTATAATAATTTTAGATGTTTTTATGTATTTATAGGGTGAAAGAATTGACTGTGGATCCAACTGCTGCTGGTGATGTTCGTCCAATAATACACCACCCACCAAATCAGATTGATGACTTAGAGACACAGTGGGGTGTGGGGAGTTCCCCTCAGAGAGATGATTTAAAACTTCTTTGTGAACAAAATGTGAGTGACTTAATATAGTAGTAATTATCTAATCTTAGTTCATTTCATCAATAATGGAACTTAATAATTAAAAACTATCATTTAAATTAAGGGTCAAGAAACCATGACCTATGGGCTAAACAGAAGTTTCACTGGAACATACCCATGCACATTTATGTATTGTCTGTGGCTCCTTTATCACTGTAGTAGCAGGAACAGACCATATGATCCACAAGCCCAAAATATGTGGTATCTGGCCCTCAAAACAGAAACCCTGGTGTCATAGTAGTTAAAGCATTTGGCTGCTACCAAAAGGTTGGTGGTTTAAACCTACCAGCTGCTATACAGGAGGAACATGAGGCAATCTTCTGTAAAGATTTATACCCGTAGAAATCCTTTGGAGCAGTTCTGCTCTGTACTATAGAAAAAAACAAATGCACTAGTGTGGAGTCAGATCTGACTCAAGGCGACCCCTCCTTGGGTTTCTGAGACGGTATCACTACAGAAGTAGATTGCCCAATCTTCCTTCCGAGGAGTGGCTGGTGGGTTTGAACCGCTAGCCTTCTGGTTAGCAGTCAAATGCCTTAGGCACTATGCCACCAGAACCTCCCCTATATTATAGAGAAGCTATGAATAAGAATCGACTCAATGGCAGTGGCTTTGGTTTTGGGTATTTTTACCTGGTAAGCAAGTTTGTTGACTCCTGATCCAACTCCCCCCCAACACACACTTTTTTTTTTTTAATTGTGATTTGGGTGAAGGTTTACAGAGCAAATTTACTTTCCACAGTGGTTCACATATACTTTGTCTCATGACATTGACCACAGTTTGCCACAATGCAACAGCTTCCCTCCGACTTCCTCCCCATAGTTACCTCTTCCCTGTGTCCAATCCTCCATGCACTCCTGCCCCCTGAGCTGTCTCCCTGTGTTTAAGCAGCCCTTCTTTCTCCCATGATTGTTCTCTCCAAGGAGTGTATCTACTTGAGGTAAATGTTCAACTCATATGCCTGT